TTTTTTCTCGGAGTGTTTAAGAGAACCTCTCGTGCGTCTTAAATCTCAAAACTTTTTCTAGTTCCCTAAGTATAAGCGTTCAAAGACTACGTTGAAAGATCAAGAGGGAGCTGCTGGAATAAGAACCCAGCTGCTTTTAATGTCCATCAATGTGTACGGCCAATTTATTCGACGATGCTTCCGTGAAAGCACTTCCGTAAAATTTGCGTTTTGGGACGCGGGGTCTCTTCCTCGAGCGGCTCCCTCGCGTTGCAAATAGAAAAGCGTGTCAGGAATATAACGACCTACTTCCTGCACGCTAAAGGAATATAAAGTTCCGTTTTTGATGGCGTACATCGATTCGGCCACCCCGACAGTGCTGAACGCCCAACACGCGCCGCAACTCTCTTGGCTCGCAACTGGTCCTACTACCTTTTGGTCGCGCCAGTCAAACTTAGAGGGTATACCCGTCAATCTCTTCACACGATTAACCGAGCTCGTAAGATGCTGATGATAATACGACGCTATCATGTGTTTTTGCCCTAATTGACAAAATTGTTATATTTGTATCAAGAAATAAATTACAACACTAAATTGTGCTCGTTGCAAGCAGAACCGAGTTTTTCGGGAAACTTTTGTTAATTTTTAAATAATTTAGCGAACTTAACTTTAATGAATCCTGAAGATATCCAAGATTTAAAGATCTTTCGTCTTCAGCATGAATCTTGAAATAAAATAATTTATGGTTCTCGTTGTGAATCGAGCTTTCTCGAGAAACTCTTTGTCATTTTTTAAGTGATATAGCAAGCTCAATTTTAATAAATCTTGAAAATTTCTAAGATTTAAAGATCGTTTGTCTTTAGCATATTAAAACAAAATAATTATTCGTAAAACTTATTCTTTGGCGCGTATTTGTACACACTACAAATTAATTAATGTATTAATTATAATGATATAGTAAACAAATAATATAATAATACAAATATTATCGCGAACATGCTGTACTGATAAACAGACATATTTTCAAAAGCAAATATGTTGTACGCCAAAACTAAAACAGAATTATAGATATTCAATTGATTCTGTTGCTCTAATCTCGTGATTGCTTGTAATTGAAGTTTAAACATTTAATTAACTTAGGCCCAGTTTCACAAGTGTCGGTTAACTTTTAATCTTAGATTAACTCACTCTTCGTCTCTTTCTAAGGGGGACGTTAGAAGGAGACGAAGAGTGAGTTAATCTAAGATTAAAAGTTAATCGACACTTGTGAAACTGGGCCTTAATCGCTATTTTTCTTAGTCAAAATTAAACTCACCCCGCAAAGGTAAATCGGGGAGTAGCGTTTGTTGCAAGAATTCATCTTTGGACAAATCGGAGAATTTTGTTAGCCCGTAGTACGCGCTTTCCTGCGACGACCGTAAACCGTTCAGCTTTTTGATATGTCGCAATGATTTCTGCAATTGATTTAATTTCTTTATTATATAATACTATTGTAAAAAAAAAAAAGAAAATTGCATCTACATGCAACGCTGATTTGCAAAAATTAGTTTCTAACTTAAATGTTACTATGTTAATCTTTTGATATTGCATTATATAATTATTATTATTATTATTGCAGTTAGTTACACATTCCGGACATCATAAATTTATTTTTCAGAAGATTTCGGAATAAAATAATTGACAAATGTGAATCTATAGCGGAACGTCAATGTCTAAGTAAAACTGTAATAGATCTCTAGAATTAAACAAGTTTAACGCTTTTTATCATTACTCTTCTTCTTCCATCAGTGCCGATAAAGCTAATTAGTGCTTTGCACCAAGTCATACACAAACACGAGTGACTCATAATACGCGCGTGCGAGCGCGCGTAACATTTGTGTTTACGATTTAAATCTCTCTCTTAACGAAATTTATATTTAAATTATAACGTGTCAAGTCCGAGGAGAACAATGCAATGTTGCAACCATTTAAACCGATTGCGATTCGCGATCCCCCACGATCGGTCTGGAGAAGAAAGAAGAAATCGTCTCGTCTTTCACCTGAAAATGCTCGAATCTCTTATTATATTCCGCGGGCTCATTCTTGTAGGATTTATTGTATCGGGCTACGTATTTCGCGAACAGTTCTGCGTCCTCCTCGACAGCTTTATCGGGCCCGACTCTGATCGGTACGATAAAGAAGCAAAGGCTCACGACCAGCACTATCACCACCACCGTTCGCCACTCCATGTCTCGTGCACGTTGACGCAGAACGCACGTTCGCACGTTCACGATGTGCGTTCGCGTTGTCACGCAACGGACGACGTAGACACGATATAATAAAGGGAGAGTGGTCGGACAACGAGTGCAGCCAGTAGGTATTTAAAGATTTGCCGAGTAAGCACTTGGAGTGCTTGGACACAACTGGACGCTAGGTCGAAAATGGCGGTGATATTTAATACTCTCGCGGATTGATTTCAACGTAGCTCTAACAAACCTGTAGTAAAAGAAACAGATTCTCTTACTTTGAAAATATTTAGAATTAATATTTTTTTAAAGGAAAGTATTTATAACATATTTATAACTAAATAATTATAACGAAATGCAAGTCTTTAATAAAATTCAGTTTTAAATGTTTTCTTTCAAATACAGTTTGAAAACTTTATCTTATCAATTTTCTATTCAGAATTTAGATAATTAAATTAATTATAATATTAAATATTATAATATTAATATTGTAACGTCAAATTAAATGTAATATTAAGTGCAATTTATATCACATCTTCTTCGACATTTCTGTCAAAGAAAATTTTCAAAAAATTAATTAAAGAAGTTAAAATAGCTATTTTAATTAAAGAAGTTAAAATAGCTATTTGATGTTATTATTATTATTAATAACTCTGAATTTTAGCTCATTTTAAGCAAAAATTAAATATAAATCAAGAAACAGTATTAGAAAATGCATCGTTTTATTATTTATTAACAAGGAGCATTTAATCAGAATCTGATCTTTTTTCTTTTATTAAAAAAAAGAATATATAGCACGCGCGAGCCAAATCATATCAGTGACGCCATCTGTTAAAATAATATTTAATTACTACTCTGCTCTATCAGTAAACAAATATGTAGATGGTATTCGATCTTATCCATCATTGTCAATCGTCAGATAATTTGTCACGTGGCGCATGCATCTCGATCGACTTCTCCGAGCTTCTTCCCTAGACGGGTCTCTTTATACATATAATACCACTTAATACATATAATATTAAGTTATACATATAATAACTATATTATTAAATTACTCCTTATAAGATTAAATTACTCTTTTTCTTCTAACTATTATTTTTAAATCAAATGGTGAAATAAAGAGGCACAAGAATAAACAAAAAAAATACTCTTACACAAAAAAATTCTTTATGTTGATAAAGTTCGTAAATTTGACAAATTTTTTATGTTGATAAAATTCTTAAATTTGATAAATTCTTTATGTCGATAAAATTCTTAAATTTTCGGAAACTGACCAATCGCATTGGTAAGATATATTTAGGAGGTAGGATATCTTTGGGATATCTTCTGGACGTCATTTTGATATGCATGCTATGTGGGTAAGCACAAAGACATGTATGCACATTTGTATATAAGGGAACGCTTAGAAATTTGACTGCCTGTTCTTTGTCTGTACGTACTGGTTGGGGATTGACTCGTAGTTATAACGGTCCTAAAACAATTTTGACTTTTGTAGCTTCAGTCGCCGAGAAATTCAGGAAACATGTATCGGCTCTTTGTGACGATGACGGTAATCACGGTAATCAACTTCGCGTCAATCAACGCGAAGTCGTATAGGTGAGTACATGTTATATACAAACGATCCACATTTATATCGACACGATGAATTATAATACCGTATAGAAATCGCGCTTCCAACTACTTGGAATCGCCGCAGAATTCGCGATAAATAATTATCAAATCAATTTCAAAACCATAATTGTATCAAATCTGTAAAAAAAAACGCATTTTGAAAGTCGGAATAAAGTGAGCAAACTAATTACAAGAGATGCTTTGAGGATTCCTTCGAAAATCTTATTTTAAGTGAGATTAGCGTCGTGTGATATTCTTCTTTTCATGATGACACCAATCTCACTTAAAATACCTAACTACATTCTAATGCGTAAATATATGCAGGTAGCATTTATTTTTTAATGCCAAAATGTTGAGGCTTTAATAGTTTTTAAATAAAAAGTGCTTGAAAATGATCAAATAAATTATTTGAAATTCGTATTTATGTTCTACGATATATGTACATACATTCGCGTTTATACCATACACATATACACATATAATATAACGAAATTTTTTTTATGTTGCTTCAAGAATTCCGTTATACAAGACATCCTCCGTTGAAAAATCTTCGACGGAGACTATGAGACGACTCCGTTCGGGTCCGGAAGCCGGCGTACCTCTGATTAATTTCAAAGATGTTCAATACTACGGTACTATCGAAATTGGATCTCCACCGCAGAAGTTTAAAATAATTTTCGACACTGGTTTCTCAGATCTCTGGGTACCATCCAAAAACTGCAACGTTAGCCAACGTGCTTGCTGTAAGTATATCATAACATCGTTACCTCCTCGACATTCTACTATTCGTATGTGCACATATGTATTAAAAAAATTAATGTTTTAAGTATTAAAATAATCTTAAAAATTTTTTTTCTCGTTTAATGATTGATATCAAGTAAAAATATAAGATAAGAATAATGCTGTAGAATTGTATCTATTCTATTTACATTTCAAGTAAAGTTATAAAATCTTTAAACCAACTTTCAAAGATTCGAATCAGTGGTAAGGTAAATATTATGTAGCTAAGTTCCATACTTACATTCTCTCTTATTTACATTATTTAGCACACTGACTTTAAAGATACAAATAATTTTTTATACAAAACGGCTCACATGTTAAAGCAAAAAATATAAACATAAATATATTTGATGATTTAACTACTGTTAGTTATATATTTAGCTTAATATAGAGAAATTTATATTTCTAGATTCTTCAATATTAACTGATTTAATTTTATTTACTACTTTTTGCAGTAAAACATAATAAATATGATAATACAAAATCCAGAACATACGTCGAAGACGGAGGTAGGTTTAATAGTCCTTACCACGATGGCAGAGTGTCCGGAAACTTTTCTATTGATGACGTAAGGGTAAGTCATCGTCAAGTAAATGATATATTTAATTCTAATCACACTCATAATCTATGAAAATTTTCCAAAAAGCACATGTTGCTATTATTCTCCGAAAAAAACGCTCGCAATTATACTTTATTAATAATATCAACGTTTTGTAGATTGGTGGCCTTAATGTTACCTCACAGATGTTCGGAGAGGTATTAAAATTCTCGACAGAGTTTTGGGACTGGTCACAATGCGACGGCGTTCTGGGGATGGGTTATCCCGCCTTATCTCACTTTAATACTTCTACTGTCTTCCAAAACATGATTCATCAACACGTGTTGTCCCAACCAATTTTTAGCTTCTATCTAAATCGGTATGTATCTTTCCGTATGCCTCACGTGTGTTTAATACTATTTTTTTAATTACATACTTTGTCTTTTCATGCAATGTAAAAAATATACAACCTATACAGAAAGTACTCACATCCCGACGGTGAATTGCTATTGGGTGAGACTAATCCTTCCCACTACGTGGGCGAGTTTACGTATGTGAATGTTACCCGCAAAAAATACTGGCAATTTAAAATGGATAGGTATATAGTTTTTTTTCTAAATTAGACGTATGTTAACCGCGGATTATATGTCAGCTAATTGGTAATGCTATCCCACTGCAGAATTCAAACAGAAAGAAACACCTTTTGCTCGGAAGGCTGTCAAGCTATCGTCGACACGGGCTTCTCTACGATAGCTGGACCACCGCAGGCTATCACAGCTCTTAAGAGAGAGATTGGCTTTAATGATCGGGTAATTGATTATCCCTTTCTGCAATGGTAGCTTTCAACTACCTTAAATAAATTATTGAAATAAATTAATAAATGTTTGGTAAGCTACGGATTATTAATGTGGATTACTAACATTGACCTTCGTTTAAAGGTGGAGTGCCGCGAGATTCCTGATTTGCCTCATATCATATTCGTCATAGGTGGTACGACGTTTCGACTCACTGGCCAAGATTATGTCAGGAAGGTAAAGAATATTATTATATAAAGGTTTAAATTGTTTTTAGAATAGAAATATTATATTATGCCATATTTAATGTCTCATAGGTCACAGGAGACCTTTGCATTTTAACACTCCAAAATATTGATCCGTTTAATGATAATGGTATAGAATGGATTTTGGGCAATGTATTTATTCGTCGCTACTACACCGTGTTCGACATGGGGAAAGACCGAGTGGGATTCGCCATGGCAGATAATTAAATCTTGATTGCCTTCTCATGAAGTTATCATTAAATATTAGGAAAAATAAATGACATTACTAAACAAATAAGTCATAGGATGAATACCGGCCATAGTTTTTTTAGAATATCGACCGACATATGGTCTGTAATTTTATTTGGACTATATATATGGCATATTTTTAAATTAATATGTGAGAATTAGAAGAAAGATATGCGATACTTATTCTACCAACGATTTGGTACATCTTGTTCTTTCGGCAACTATCGAATTGTTAGGTATTGTGAATACAACTTGTATACAAGTCTGTTAAAATGAAGTCTATTAAAATGAAGTATTTTTTACACTGAATATTGATTTCATATATCGCCCTTTCAATCTCATCTTAATGTAGTATCCCGAAAAATATTATCTCGTTTATCCTTATAAATTTTCTGCTTACATACGAATACAAGATATCATATAACATTCTGCTTATATGTATAAGAGTATGACATACCGCATTTGTAATCAATATATAACTTTTTACATTTCTTATGCTTACACAAACGTATATACGCATAAATCTTTTGCTTATTAATAAAAATTATCCAAAATTTTCCACACATAGATACTAAATTGTCGATACAAAAATTATCATGTCGTATGTATTCTAATTAATAAATTGTTATAATATTGCAAAACTGGTTTAGGTATCTCACTATCGTTAATATTATAAACTTATATTTTGAAATTGTTATTTTTAGAAACTGGTCTATTGTAGTAACTACTGCTAGTGTTAAATAAAATATGATACACAAAGAGAAATTATCGAGTTATTTTGATATATGATGTGTAACAACGATAATATTTTCTGGCAATACACGTTTGCAAAAATTTTATATGATTACAAGCCAGCTGGTGTCTCTACTTTAATGTTAAAAGAAAATATCACATTATATAAATACTGGTAGTTAAACATCTTGTGTTATGCAATTTACGTTGCATTTTATTACATTTTTGCAAGAGTTAATCTGTAAAAGAAAAGCTTTGAGTAAATCCTATATAAAATTGATTTCTTAATTCCAAGCACAGCGTATAATATTCTGGAATTAGATATCCGCGACATTTGCAACATTCAAAAAGACGATTGTATTTTTAGATCTATATTCCGCTTTCAGGTTTCTCTCTACTTACAATTTATAGCGGAAACTTGAATTCGATTTAGTGGAGACTCAAACCCGATTTAGCGGAGACTCGAACCTTATTGATGGAGATTTATCAATCGATTGACAGAGTTAAAGTGCAGTTTAAGGTGCACTTAGTGCTTAGTGCATAAAGTGCACCTGAGTGCACCTGAGTTTGGCCGTGTCTCTTTTCTCTTTCTCTTCGTTGGCTTCGCTAAAACATGAGGCAGTGATGGAGAACCGTACGATTTCTAAAAAGAGGAAGGTAGCAATCTCCAAAAGTCTATCATATTCTTGTAGTTGCAACGCTGAGAACTCCCGGGGTGACATTTCGTCGAAAATCGGACGAATGCGATACCCGCGGTTTGCGGATGACCGGGATGACATGGGATTCCGGCATCGTTCTCACGTGGATTTTACAATTCCACGTATCCTTTCTCTCAAAATTATTTAAACTGTACACATTTCTATTAAATGGAATTTGGTGTATTTTAGTCTTCTCTGTAATTTCCTGGTGTTACGTATTTAATGCTAGAATAATTTATTAGTTTATATATTTTGATGATAATAACCTAAAAAAGTAAACTCAATAAATGTAAATTTTCATTAATTTGCTACTATGCACCTGATAACGTTAATTTGCACGAGCTTCCTCAATATAAATCTATGTAATAAAACAATTTTTGTATAATAAATTATATTCTACGAATAAATCAAATTACATAGTCATATTTGATATAAAATTTTTTATAAATGTACATTCATTTGGTTCTTTTCAGTTCGTAGGCGACGGTGTATTCAGAGCCGAGTTGAACGAGTTCTTGACTCGTGAGCTCGCCGAAGATGGCTATTCGGGCGTGGAAGTCCGCGTGACGCCAAATCGGACTGAAATCATTTTACTAGCCACCCACACGCAGAGCGTGCTCGGCGAGAAGGGACGCAGGATCAGGGAACTGACGTCTGTGGTACAGAAGCGTTTCAACTTCAAGGACCAGAATGTCGAGTTGTATGCTGAAAAAGTAGCCACCCGTGGTTTGTGCGCTATCGCGCAGGCAGAGTCTCTTCGCTACAAGCTAATTGGAGGTCTTGCTGTACGAAGGTACATCGGAGTTTTATCTGCCGTTCACTATTTGTCAATCCTAATTACACCTTCTGCAATTTTCATTAATTATTATTTTATTATAATATCGCAGAGCATGCTATGGCGTTCTACGTTTCATCATGGAATCCGGCGCGAAAGGCTGCGAGGTCGTTGTCAGCGGCAAATTACGTGGTCAAAGAGCGAAATCAATGAAGTTCGTTGATGGTCTCATGATTCACTCGGGTGAGCCGACTAACGAGTACGTGAATGCTGCCACCCGACATGTACTCCTGCGGCAAGGTACGAATATTACCATGGCAATTACTTTGACTAATATAGCAGTGTGTTCACAGAAATTAGTTGTTTTAAACTACCAGAAATTTATTTTACATTCAATTTATTTTATGGTCGTTCATATGTATTGCAATTCGTATTACTTATACTTATGTTTGTAATATATCTTAGGCGTATTGGGAATCAAAGTTAAAATTATGCTACCATGGGATCCCAATGGCAAGAGCGGTCCGAAGAAGCCTCTTCCTGACTATGTATCGATCGTGGAACCGAAAGAAGAAGTACCGCCATCAGTTCCAATCTCCGAGGTGAAGCCATCAAAAGATATACCCCAACCCACTCCTCTCGCTGTATAACAATCGATTTAAATGCAGTTTTATATGCATTTAGAAAATAAATAAACGGAAAATAAGATCTGTGTTGCATTTTATTCTCAACGTTTTAATGTACGAAATATTAAAAAAAAGAATGATTCATGCTAGGTAAGAATCAGGTAGCCTTTCTTTTTATTGAAAAAGATTTATTAATGTGTTTTAAGATGTTTGCTACAGTATACCGATAATTATTTTCATTTATAAAACCATTCTGAATTACTTTTATATATGTTAAATATCCAAATATCAGGTAGAAGATAAACGAACTTATGCTAGACTAACAACTGATAGAACAAACACATGATAGGTATTAAATTAAACTATTTCCAGAGCTTATCCCAAAAAAGATGGCGAGTTAACCATTCCGTGCGACTCGGAAATATATGTAAATTTTATAACTTATATATTAGATATATTATATATTATACACATTCCCTAATACCGCAAAACCGTGCGAAATCAATCAAAAAAACAAAAAATGGTTTACGTAATCAACATTAAACTCCATTAACCAGTGAACTCCATTATGCATCATTATCTACTCGTTACAAATTCATGGTTCAAAATTATATGGAAAATTTTAGAGTTAGTATATGCGCATAGTTTATAATTCTTTAATATAAAATTTAAGAACCTGAAAAATAGAATCCAACAAAAAACCTTATTAGCCAAGTTACGTAATTGTCTTTAACTTGTAAATTTTATACGATAATGATTAGTACGTCTCTTCAGTTTAATTATAATCGCACATTATTAACGTAAGAAACAGTTCATGATTTGATTGTTTTCACAGATATTCCAAACATAACATTCACTATGAATTTTGATGTCGGCACTCATTTTGCGCTAACACTAATTCATGAAAGTGTTGCTGAGTGGACCCTAGAACCCTAGGAGATCTGTCTTTGAGAGACAATATTGAGAAAGAATTGAAAAATTCAATATCGTAGATATTATTGACGCACTGGCGCCATTTGTTGGGTCAGAGAAAGCAGACCGTTGATGAGCTTTCGAATGATGTCCGGCACGGCCGGCTTTTTCGACACCGAACTCAATCCGTTTCTAAGCTCGTAAAATACGTTACGCGTGAACGGATTTCTTTGTGACGCAAGACGCAATTTCAAGAACTGATAATAGATGAAGGGAGTCAGCAAACCGGCCCGTCCTCTGTAAAAAAAAAAAACAGGAAAAGGATATTTAATATGCCGCTAAATGTTTCTCTATTATCGGATTATGACACGACAATCGTGCACAATACATACGTAAATACTAGAACAGCAGTAAACGGCAAGATGATGATTTCTGACAGAGCACACAGGCGAAGGATATTCCGCGACTGAAATTCCACCAGGGATATCAATAGGCGAGCGCCCCACCAGCTGTTATGTCCTAGACACTGCAGAGATCACAAGTTCAACTTACATTCTTATGACTGTGCAGGTAGCCGTAAGGTATAATTTTCTTCACACGTATTATATAGTATGTAGCGCATAATTAATATTAATTTGTTTACTTACGTCTAGCAATGTAAGAGAATAACTGGCCAGGTGCATCAGAGCGAAAAGAAAAACTGGCGTGAGCACCACTGTACACGAATCAAGTTCAGGATTCAATTTTGTTAAAATATGGAACATTTAAGGTGATCCTAAAGCCGTGATCCTAGCCGGTTTTTTTCTTAGCACTAATCTTTTAATTGGCTTTATAGAAATGCAAAATTATTGTCTAGAATTAAAGTACGCATCAAAATCTAGGTCATGGTGGTCAAATTTATATCGAAAACGAAAAAAAATTAATATTTTTTGTTATACGTGACGACCACCACATATAAATTCGACCACCATGACCTAGATTTTGATGCGTACTTTAATTCTAAACAAGAATTTTGCATTTCTATAAAGTCAATTAAAAGATTAGTGCTAAGAAAAAAACCGAAAAAAACTGGCTAGAATCACGGCTTTAGGATCACCTTAAGAGATCGAAGAGGCTGCGTAAATGAAAAGGATACATGTAATTGGCGCCGCATACAAAAATATCAAGGAGTAGAACAGGTAGTGGCACGAGTCTTCCAACAGCAACGTCTCTAAAAACTGCCTCGTGAGCTGAACACGCGGCACTCGTTGGTGCAGACGTAACGCGCTGGTCGCCGCATTATTCATTAATACCTTATAGTATATATTGTAAGGATTCCTGGAAAGAAAAGCAAGATTTAAGAAAACTTGGCAAAGGCAGGCGTTATTATAACTCCGTAAAATTCAGATAAAAGTATATGAAAGTACCCAAATATAGGAATAATGTAGCCGACGGTGAAGATTAGGGTGAAGAGCCTAGTGACCCACAATCCAAATTTAATCTTATTGTCTATAATGTGCTGCTTCAAAGCTGGCCATCCCTTCTCGACTTGCGGCGACGATTCGCCGCTGGATCCACTGCTTGCTGTGTCCGCCATCCTGAACGCTGGAAAGAAAGAGAAACGGAGAAACGATTTAAGATTAACAAAAAAAAAAACACTAATGTACTAATTTGTATACTCGTTTACGCTCTCGATTCCTCTCGGCGGAAATGTTAATCGAATCTCGGAAGAAACTGGTATAATTTATGCAAATGTATGTTTAGGCGGCCGAAAGTGGGTCTGCGCGGGGCAAAAAAAAAAAAAAGGACATGGCGTTGCGTATCGCGAACGTCACGCGTTTCTAAAGTGAAAGTGGCCACCAGTGGTCCACGCTTTCCGCGGGGAAGGCCGTCTCCTCCGTCTTGGCCGAGAAAACTACGGCTCGTCGAGGACGAGCCGGACGGAGGGGCAAAAAAAAACTCTAACGAGCGTGCGTAAGCACTTTTCTGCGCCGCAGCGTAGCGTAGCTGCACGACGCACGGGGATCGCGTGACTCGGCCGTGTGAATTACATCGTCACCTGGGATGACACCGTCGTGGCCATCCGATGTCTAAAAATCGGGCGAGCCGAATCGGTTCGCGGACACGTCGCCGCGCACGGGACACGTCGGTGCGTACACTTACGCGCTCCACGCTCCGCACGACCGACGCACAGGATACTCCGCGACGATCTACACGTCGATGACAGCAGCGGTAAACAACAATCGCGCGGGTCCACCTATTCCGGACATCTACGTGTCTCTAAACGAGCCGAGGGTCCAGGACTATTGGCGACTTTGGCGAGCGAATAGCGAATCCGACTTTCTTAAAGTTCCGTACGCTCCGTCCGCAGATGTCGCGTGGAGTCCGCGACATGGTGCCACCTCGGGCAGAAACTCCACAGCGACTTGAACAAGAGATGGTAATTAACTCGACCGATGTGATCGACTCAGCTGGCAGAATTATATATTCAACTGACGTAACTAATTAACTGATATGACATTATAAATTAACTGATGCTTGACGAAATCAATTTTCGATTTAATAAAAGTATAATTATCAATTAACTTGATTGGAGTTATCTTCAAAGGGAAACAGATGAAGGCAGAGGCAGGGACGAAGACAAAACTTTCGCGACCCTGGCTAAAAAGAATGAAAAATGGGAGCATTGAAATTCCTCAAGCGTCGATTCGAATTCGCCCATACACGTCCGATTTGCATTACTTAATTGCAATTGCGTGGGTTGAAATGCGTTTCGTGTTGCATCGAACCTTCGTTAGGTCGCTGTTAGATTCAGGATTCAGTCAACATTCGATTTATGTTAGGAATTCGAAAGTGGAAGGAGAGGGGTCAACTTTCAGTGAAAACCATGTAATGAACGATGCTATTGTCAAAAGTAACGAGTAAAGTTTTATTTCTCCCTATCCTTCGACGCTTCGATCGAGCTAATTAACTTGTCGAAGCCCTAGTTTATCACGTGGAACTGAAGCACGATATGCTCATGCGCCAGTTGCATCAGCAGCATCAGCTGTTAGCAGCTAGGCCCATTTGCTTTTATTGCCGACATGTAAGAAAGAGCGAGGAATCCGCACGCGAGGAAAGTGCAAGTAGAACGAAGCCGGTCGTTTTAGAATCTATCTTATTGCTTTATTCCCAAGGATAACTACTCCGCGCAGTCATTTAAACTTAGCAAATCCACGTGTTTCGCTCGCCCATACACTCTTGTGAATAATTGACGTAAGTGAATGACAGACAGAGTGAAGTGAATGTTTGAAGAGAAGAGTGAACGTGTGGAGAGATAATTCGAGCCAAAGAGACAGGTGAAATCTAAATGCTTGTAATAATGCGTGTTAAAGAAATTTTGTTAAACTGACTATAATTTTATTCTTTGATTTATTAAAAATTAAAAAAATGAAATCTTATTGTAGTTAAAAAATTGTCGAAGAGAGTCTCGTGCGAAAAAGTACACGTGAAGAGGAAATATGTATGAAAAAATACATGCGAAGAAGTATATATGAAAAAATAGACGTGAAGGATCATGTTCCAAAACTCACTCTAGTTAACTAAAATGCTAGTGTACGTGACGTAAACTATAGATTTTAGTTACCCAGAGTGAGTTTTGGAACATGACCAAGAAGAACTTGAGTCACCTCCATAAAAAACGCGGCTTTTTAGAGATATTTTTAAAATGAAACAAAAAATTCGACGTTTTAATTTTAATTAAAAATATACCTTCCATTATAATTTGCAACATCTTTCCATCTTAATCTTGAATTTTTAATTGGCGATCGATAAGCCTTTCGATTTTGAACTAAAGAATTATAAGCTCTCTTTTATTCTTTTTATACCGTGTTATTCATTGTCATATTATAGAATGATGTGAAGGAAATGTACGAGAGAAAATACGTTTTGCAATTAAATCGCCAAATGAATAATTTATTTCTTTACACAGGATGATCTCTCGATAACTGACGCTATTCGGCTATTTTTATTTTGTGGGAAAGTCCGTCAAATTGAGGAGACAGATGGGGGGAAAAGGATGTTAAGAAACGTGTTCCTCTTTATAATTCTGATATTTTAATACGTTCCTCTCGTTTTGACATATACGTCCGACTTGCATTGATATGTTATGACGTCATGTTATTAAAATACAGTCCATTAACCATGTAAAAAGAGTATTTAAAAAATTGTGAAGAAACTATGAATAAAAGTAATAAAATGTAAATAAAAATTTTTTCTTTCCCATAATAATGCGATTAACAGTTGAAATAAAGTTGAGGCAAAAGATAAAGAAAGAATAAATTAATGTCAGGAATACTTTAAATGGCAGGAATACTTTAATCTAAAAATTGAAAATGTAGATTTGCAAAGTTTAAAAAAAAGAAAGAGTTGTAACAAGAAAAAAAACACATACTTGTCGAAGATATACTTCATTTTATATGCATTTACGTGATATGCATTTACGTAATAAGATATGCATCTTTACGTGGTTTTTTCTGACTGCGGACATTTTACATTTAAAAAAACGAATATATTTAAATAACAATAGCTCAAAAATAGAATAGTTTTAGTGTGGAGTATCACAGGCACTACCTGGCATTCCTAGCGTTATAACATGCAATGTCGCAAGATATTTCACAAGATTTATTATTGCACTATCGATCAGAATTTTTCGATTCTACTAATCATTATCAAATATTATTCACTGACAAAAAATTATTTACTACGATATGATTTACTCCGATGAAACGCTCATTAATAAATATGTTAGCAAACCGTATAGAGATTAATAATGAGGTAAATTTGTCATCGATAACGTCACACTTAGGATATTTGAATCATATGTGCGTAGCTGTTATCGAAACTGAAACTAGTTATATAAATGCAATATCAATCTTGATGTCTATTGTGTAATATTATTACATTATTTTATCATCTTCAATTTTTCAAACCAGATTATTTTGACAATGAGACAAATTTATTTTTATAGTTTATCACACACAATAGTAAATAATTTATAATACCATATTATGATTAACAGATGAAAGAGATAACGGTAAAAGAACAAACGTTTCCGGAAAAAAATGTTGTTTACTTATACAAATAAATTGTGGTATATACTATATTATGGAATTTATAATACTAACTATAAATTACATAATTTGTAATACTAACAAATTATAGATACTGTTTACTTTTTAGTAAATTATACAACTTATTCAGATAAAGTTTTTTTTCCACAAAAAGTTTCATCTTTTTTTTTAATCTTCCGCGATATTGTACAAAATAGCTTTAATATAATATAACTTTTTCGATATAATTCGTTCGATATAATTGCTTTAATTTATTTCTCGGTAATTGCACAAATTATTTGACGACTGTTGCCTACGTTTTATATAATGCGTAGAAATAAAATATGTAGCTTAAATTTATGCATCAAAAAAAAGTGTCTGAAAGATGCCATAAATAGAATATAACAAACAATATTTTTCATTCAAATCTTCTGACAAGTAATAAATTATCCTCTGACAATCCATATCGTTTCATGTTTTATCTCACTCGGAGACTGAGGCACAATTCTAAACTTTTATCAAGTAAAGATAAAATATAAAATGTATAAGAGTAATTGCGAATTGCGATATCTAATAACTGATATAAGATATTAGTAGTGCGTATTATTTTATCAGTGAAATAACATATAATAAGAATGAAGTCTAATGAATAAACACAAGTAACTGTAAAAACCGCAGATAAACCTAAAATTATCCTATTTTCCAGAAATTGTCTAATTGTAAGCTGTTAAAAATAAAATGTATAAGAGTAATTGCGAGTTCCGATATCTAATAACTGATATAAGATATTGGTAGTACGCATTATTTTATCAGTGAAATAACATATAATATGAGAATAAATTAAAAAGATTATAAGAATAAAGTCTAATGAATAAACACAAGTAACTGTGAAAACCGCAGATAAATCTAAAATCCTATTTTCCAGAAGTCGTTTGGGCACGTATTGTCTAAGCTGTTACTCTCGTCACGCATGAAGACCGAAGATTCCCTCGTGAAGGACATGAATGTCAGAGAGGGGAAACGGACCAAGTACCATTTCGTAAAAGGCGTCGTTCCTCATATATATAGCGTATGCACGAACGATCGTACGCATAACGGTTGATGCGGCTGGAAAGTACGAATGTGGAACAAGTAAGAGCGGTGCCTAACGGTGATCGGTTTGGTCGAGGAGGAGGCTTCTTGTAGTCGTAGCAGCTTGATCTTGTGGCTGGCGCTTCGATCCGGAATATTCGTGTCGCGACAAGTTGAATCTATGATTGTTAATTGACGACTTCTCACGTGAAAATGTTACTCGAAGCAATAATAGTCTGTGTCTCTATTGTTGTCGGCGCCATCGCCTATTCAAAGTGTTTGCTCTGCCATATAAAATATTTTTATCTTGGAGCGGCATATCACTTTCACGATGTATTCAACGCCAGATACAATAAGATAGGTAAGAAAAAACCTAGACACATACACATAGTTTTATAAATTCTTATACATTTATATTGTGTTCTTATAAGTCGAGAATGGAGAAGTGGTCCGGAATTGCCAAGCAAATTATCAAATGCTGACGTAATTTATTTAATGTTGATGGTGACACGAATTAGATTGACCTTGTGCCCGGCGCGGGTCGTCAAAATAAATTTTGCTTAAGATACAGTCGCCATGATAATATACATTCGTCAATAACCATTCGTTAACTTTTAATTTAGAGACCACAATTGCATTATTTAAAATATTTTTTTTGCAGATACAACAAAACTGTAACATTTTGGAATTTTATTTATATACTTCAGAAATTTTTTTAGCAGTATTGCAATGCAATCTAAATATTAGATAAATAAATATGAATATATATATATATATATTTATAATATATTTATATATATATATACAATATATGCAATTGCAACTTTTATTGTTAAAAATTATGTCGACATACAAAATACTTCATACTCTTATAATCATGAAAACATGAAAATCATTTTGAAATAAAAATACACTGAGAAAAAAAAATCGTAGATTCAAAGAAATATTATTTGATTCAACTAAATGCAGCGGTCACGGGCTGTCAAGCTAACATTTGTTAATTCAAAAAATATTATATTTAAATAGATTCAGAATTTCTTGATATTACTCACGTATATTTGATTTAAATATATTAATATTTGCATTAAACAAATCACTACAACTAAACGAGTTTAGTCAAATTTACAACATTTTTTTCTCAGTGTAAGATTTCTCACGAGATTGGACAATATCTAACGATACAACATTTAATTTTTCGTTTATGACACGCGCTTCCTCAAAATTAAAGAATGCGACTGAGGACGAATTTTACCAACAACGTCGGTTAACTGTAACCTTCGGTTAAATTCACTCTTCGTCTCTTTCTAAGGCAGTTAGAAAGGAGGCAGTTAAAAAGAGATGAAGAGTGATTTTAACCGAAGGTCACAGTTAACCGACGTTAGTAAAATCGGCTTTAAGTGAAGAAAAATTTCTGGTATTACATAATTGATGCTTGTATCTCTTTATATTCTGTCTTTTTCCAGATTTATCGTCAAAACCGGACAAAGTTGCAATCGTAACTGGTGGTTCTAGAGGTATAGGAGCAGAAGTCGTTAAGAAATTATTACAGTGTGACATGGAAGTTATAATCGGTGAATTATTTGCTAACAATAAATTATTGTCGATGCAGTCATTACTCGCATCCCTATAACATGTTAATATACGGAAATATAATTAGCTTGTAGGACAATTAGCGCAGGTGAAAAGCTCATCCTCGAAATTAGAAAGTCTGGTATTACCAGCGGACGGGCAAAGGTTTATAAGCTCGACAATTCCTCTCTCGAATCGGTCAGAGGATTCGCTAAGCAAATAAAAGCGGACTATGATCAAATTCATATATTAATCAACAATGGTAAGGGATTGATCACTTCAACTTCATTCCAATATACAGAACGCTGATTCCTGTGTATGAAAGAAAACGTGAACGTCTTTTTGCTTCTTTTCAGCCGGTATTATGTTTCCTCGCGCCTATAAAAATACGGAAGACGGATACGAAGAACAATGGGCGGTGAACTACTTATCACATTTTTTACTAACGTCGCTTCTTTTACCGTTATTGAATGCCGGTGGGCGTCCTGGCGAATGCAGCAGGATCGTTAACGTCACTTCATGCGCTCATGATCTTGGCACCATAGATTTTGATTACATCATTAATTGTTCCAAGTAACCATAAAACATATCGTTGAGCTAGCTTTCTTCAATTATTGACTTACGATTATTTGCTAATATACGACGTGTGATGTTCGCTCGGAATTCAAACAATTATTTTATAATTGTACCAGGGAAACATTTTGCACGCATGCATCGTATGGACAAAGTAAATTGGCACAGACGACGTCCACGATAATATTGCAGAGACTCTTAAAAGACAAATCATTGAATGTATTAGTATATTCCGTGCATCCTGGTGTAGTGAGAACAGATCTATTCAACGAATACGCCTTATTAGGCAATAACAAATGGCTTATGACTATGTGGAAGGTAACAATATATCCTATCAAATTTTTCCAATTCTTCCAAGCTATTATCAATCAATTTGTTTCTATAATTACACGTCTGTTGCAGACACCTGATCGAGGAGCTACTCCAATAATATATGCCGCAATGAGCAAAGATGTTGAAAGAAAAGGTGGGATATATATCAGTAATTGCAAAGAGTTGGCTGTTCCTCCGTTAGCACTCAAGGAGGAAATCCAAGAACGATTGTTAGAATTATCTTTAAAACAAGCACATTTAAAAGATTTGTTCCAATATTTGTAAAGAAGTTACACGGTATTGATATATTATATCTTGATAAATGACTCATTTGTTGTTGCATGTATCATGCATACATATTTTAATAAACATGTTAACATATATTAAAAATTGGCGTATTTTTTCATACTTAAAAGACTCGTGCAATATCGTCTATTCTAATTCTAACCGCGAAGAAAAAAAAATATAACCGACTACGCACACATCATAGAATATGTATGAAAATCGACAAAAGATGACAGATGATAAACTTTAGAAAGACCTAAAGAAGAAAATCCTTTCGTTGAATTATTCTTTACTGGAATAATGTAAATGTCTATACATGAGAAAACAAGCCTTTTGTGTGATGTAAAACATGCAATTGTCCCAGGTTCCTGTTTTTTGTTACGTTATGACGTAAAAGAGAGATAGGATTTATAATATCGTTATTACTATTGTTTAATGGATCTCTTTATATAAATATTAAATCTATTCTTTAAAAAATAACATTTGCAGTTTATCACTGTTCTTTCTTTATAATGCCGATTTTTTTTATTTTGCGCTGTAAATAACTATTAACGCGAATATCTTGACAGGTTTTTCCCTTTATGCAGGAATATTTCGTCTTACGTGTCTAAAGTGGTCCATAAGAAGAATCAAGCTTCAAAGTCTCAAGTTTTTTATAACTAATTAAAAAGATGTGAATATAAATTCAAATTCGATTTTAATTTCTTATCGCTACATACTTTATGCAAAATCTACATAACGAGCTAAAGATATTAATTGTCGAGCGATAAAAATGTTAACAGAGCTGTGAAAATTAATGAAGTGAATCAGAATGCACACATGTATGTACAAGCTGATGATTAAGCGTAATTATCCTGAGTATGCGAACTTCATTCGATGCTAATGTTCAACTTCAATCGCTTATAACTTTGCAACTTTTGCGACACACATTTTCATAAGTAATAATATATATAAATAAATTTAATATTTTAAGTAGCAGTACACGATTATATTTTGGTGCACACATTTCTATTAAAAGATAATATTATACAAAAATACAAAAACTCATTTAATCAAGTATTTAAAAACTTGTGCAAAAGTCTTAAATGAAGATATATTTGATATAAATCTTGTGTGTAACTTATTGTTAATTTTGATAAATTTTGATTGATTTTTACATATTAGAAATACGATATAAATTGGTATTACCTATATAATTTTTTAATGTTGGCAAAATCTGTAAACCAGGGACAAATGGCACGTGCATAGCGCGTGCATTGTTATATATTCTAATCTATATATATATAATTTTCTATGATTAAAATACAATAACATAATATTAATTTTATACCAAGAAAATTGATATATGTGTTTTGACCAATATAGTTTTTATTACAAGTTGCGATTTTTTATATTATGCATTGTTAATAACTTACATTATATAATTATAACAAAACGTTTTTATATAACATAAAACCTTTGGATTAATTCAAACTGAATAGTTTGCATAAACTTAACCGTATTAAAAAGATCTTAACTGCAGGTATCGATAAAAGTAAAATACAATAACTTTTATGTTAACATCTAACATATATATTGTTATGCATTTTTCTAAGAATTTGTAGAAATTATACAAATTGCAGAAATTTGGCAGAATTTATACAAATTCAATTGAGTATTAATAGATGAGTAAAAAAAAATTAAAAATAGAAATGTAACAATTCCGAACTCTAATTTAATCTTCCTTTGCTGCGAGGGAGATGAATGTTTATCTCAATAAAATCATACAATTCATACAAAAGAAACAATCTATGACAATCAATACTAATAAGCTACGGATTATTAAAAAAAAAAAAATCAGAAAGTTTCAGCCAACAAGAAATTTATAACAAAATACATATTATTTATAACGGTTATGTATATTGGAGTATATAAAGTATTAAAAAAGTGTGAAAAGACTAGAGACATTTTAACATTATATACGAAATGTATACAGAATAACTAATAATCAACCATGTATCGTTTATAAGATTCATAAATTATAAATATAAAGTAAATATAACAAGATCTGATCATGTAAATGCTAGTAGACTTTATAATAATGTCATAAATATCTTATCACTTTTCTAGATTATAACATAATAAATAATCCATTAAAATAAAAAATCATTCTCGTTGATTATTGTATCTCTAGAGTTACAGTGTCATTTATGCCTCAATTTTAACATGCTGTTATGAGCACATTGTGAGCTGCCTTCTTCAAAATAGCGTGATAAACACATGTAAATATTGCACATTAGAAATAACTTTATACATCGTAGGCTTGTGACGTGTTGTAAAAATCTTATTATTACTAATAAGATTTTGGACGAGTTACCAAAATCCATTGTGATAATAACTATTTGTACTTTCGAAGTAACAAAAAAAAAAGAAAACACTACAATTATATAAAACAAAAATTTCCATTGCGCAAATGGAAATAAATGCTTAAACAATTTAACATCAAGCAATGTTACTTCAATGAAATTAAAACGCGAATAATAGAGCGTAAAATTGCGCTATATATCTATAAAAATTTAATGTCCTATAAGCTAGAGTGCTTAATGACATATTTAAATTGTTGGTTTAAATATGTTTTAAATATTAAATATATCTTACAACATAGTATAAAGCAACGTAGCATATAATATCATAACACTAAACAATAACACTGTGTATCAAAGATATACATGTACTATACGTTTCCTAAATTATCAAATATTGATACGCTCGATTTCAATCACCGTGTCTATAAAAAAAGGTATAACATACAAAAATTACTTAGGAGAGTCTGCTACAACCGCAATTACTACTATCACCGATTGACGTCGTTTTACCGTTTATTGAAGTTGTATTCGTTTCATACCGAGGTAATTCCTTACTGCGTGCTTGCTAAAATAACATACGAGCACTGCAAAATGTTCTAAACGAAATAATCGTAAAATAAAAATACGTTCGCTTACCTCCATAAGTTCAGCTGCTATCTCCATAAATAATCTTTCTACATTTTCCGCTTCTTTGGCGGACGTTTCTAAGAAGTACATCCCATGCCTTTGCGCAAAATCTTCTCCTACGTGCGTCGGTATCTCTCTATCTTCTCGATCAATTTTATTTCCTGACAGAACAATAGAAAACATACAGAATTGATTCACGAGGTGATCGACGAGAGAGAGAGAGAGAGACTTTCTTAGTTTATAATCTTCATATTTTTTTTATTTACCTACTAATATCCTAAGAACTTTATTACTCGCATATTCCTCGATTTCCCTCAACCAATCTGGCAAACAATCGAACGTAGGTTGACAAGAAATATCATAAACTAATATCAATGCGTGTGCTGATCTATAATAACTTTGAGTAATGGAACGAAATCTTTCCTGACCTGCAGTATCCCAGATTTGCAACTGAAATAAAAAAAAGAAAACAACATTAGATCGCAAATCATATGTAGCGAACGCGCACGTCACATACAAACTGTATACCTTGACTTTTTCATTTTCTACTTCGACAGTTTTAATCATAAAGTCAACTCCAATCGTTGCACCTTGTCCAGGTGGAAATAAACCCTGTAAATTTTAAAATGTTCACTAAAATTATGGCCAGGTTAATAGATATAATTTTGGTTGTCATTGAATTATTCGTTTAATTTGCCAATTTATATTCACCATTCTCTCATCATTTATTAGCATATGTGAAAGCTGTTACCTTGTTATAAATGTAATGTATTCTATAGTAAGAGATTACAAGTTTTTATAAAGTAGTATGAAAAATGGATCTCCTAATAAGAATAAACTTTAGAAAGTTTCGTAGAAACCAAGCAATGACATCGACTGAAACTACAATGCAATGGTATATGTCGCAGGCAAACGGACTATGCTAGATCAGCTTTGAGGTAACGTTTCACATATGTAGATGACATCATCTCCAGGATGCATAAATAACAAACTTTCCACCCTTCCGGGAAACGCGTTCGCGCGTGAACTAGGCGCGCGGGGTGCGGAGGAAGGTAGGGGGGTCCCACGAGACCGACTCTCGCGAGCTTTCCTCGGGCGAGCTTTTCGCGATCCTCGGCGGGAAGAGATGCGAGGGGGGAGAGAAGAGAGTCGCCGACGCACCTGAGTGAATCGTCGCACCAGGCAGGTCTTGCCCACCCCGGCGTTCCCCACGAGCACGACCTTGAAGAGAAACTTGTAGTCCTCCATGTTCGCGGGCCACTGTCCGGCACCGGGAGGCGGGGGTCCGCGCTCGCAAGTCTCCCGGGGCTCAACGGGGACGGCGCATCCGTGCGATGCGGGGACAACAGCTCCCGATACCGACCGCGTCACCGCCGACTTTCAACAAGCGTTCACCGTTCACCTCGACCGTCGAGACGGCGGGCCGAATATCACGCACGCACACACACGGATGGACGGACGGCCGCGCGCGCTCACGGCTCACCTCCTCGCGATCGTGCGAGGAAGGGAGAAAGAGAGAGGAGAGAGAAATCGACGGCGACTACCTCGGCATCGTCGCCGCGCTGCACGCGATCCTCACTCGGCTCTCGCGTCTCCCTTGGACGCGACCGACGACATTGTTGTTGGTTATGTATATAGGCCCCCGCTGGACGCGCTAGACGAACTGTAGGTGTAGGAGACTGCGGAGTAGTGCGGAGAGGCGGGAGACGCCTCTTTCATCGCGATCCGGGGATCCGCCATCTAGCCTCATCTTCTTGGATCAACTGTCAACAAGCTACCAACCTTGGGTAATTTCTCGACTAATAATGGTGCTCCCGGCTCCGGATTACTCCGGAAGCCCGGAGAGCTTTGACTTATTATTGATAGGTCGATATGATTTTTTTTCGGTATTTTGTTGTATGGGAAAATTCTTTTCTGTCAAGGTTTTTATTGCAAATCTGTAATTATATTCATTTAAAATGGAACAACTTAAATTAGGCTTGAATTAGTTGTAAACGTCAAGGACGTAGGCCTCTTTTGTATTGCGAAAAGTCTTGTATGGAACAGAATTCGCTGACGTTTGTGTTACCTGCCGGAATTGCCGGAAATATCCGTGGCAACGTAGTTCGATGCTTACATTTGCAATATTTGCATATAAAGGCGCCACTGGACACAAACACGATCATGTTCACATTCACATTGTTCACTTGAGTCCACTCTCACACTCAGGCTTCTGTCTGTCAATAGTGTCAATACCGAAAATATTTGATTCGACGCCGACGAAGTCGGTCTCGTCGAGTTGAATTTGAGCCTGACAATCAGAGAAACGTCGCGGAAAGGATGAGACGAAAGGCGGGAGTGGGCGCGATACATAAGCAGAAGTTGGAGCAGGAGAAGTACCGGGACAAGGGCACGGAGATCCAGGAGAACCAGTTCGAGCAGATGACCAAGCACATGGAGACGTTCCGCGTGAATCTCGAGGAGTTCGCCTCGAAGCACAAGAGCGAGATTAAGAAGAACGCGCGTTTCCGTCGACAGTTCACGGAGATGTGCGCCTCGATAGGCGTGGACCCGCTGGCGTCCGGCAAGGGTTTCTGGTCGGTGCTGGGCATCGGCGACTTCTACTACGAGCTCGCTGTCCAGATCGTCGAGGTCTGCATGGCGACCAACTACAAGAACGGCGGCCTGATCTCTCTGGACGAGCTGAGAACGCGTCTGATACAGGCCAGAGGACGCAGGAAGGAGCATCAGGAGATCACCAATGAAGATCTGCTGGCAGCTGCGAAGAAGTTGAAGATATTCGGTAACGGCTTCTCCGTCGTTCCCATCGGCAGAGGGAAGCATTTGGTGCAGTCGATACCTGGCGAACTCAGCATGGACCATACCGCGGTGTTGCATCAGGCTAGTCTCTCCGCGAACGCCTACGTCTCCAAGTCCATTCTGTGCAAGGAATTAAGGTGGGAGGAGGACAGAGCGCAGAAGGCTCTGGACCACATGATGAAGGAAGGATTAGCTTGGTTGGACAAGCAAGCGGAGGACGAGACGTTGTATTGGTTTCCTAGTTTATTCACAGCTTGCATCGTTTCCACAGAATAAACTCGGTGTTAACATTGTTATCAGATAGGTAGGGAATAATTTTAAAAAAGTATTAACGTTGCTTCTAAAGGTGCGTATCTCTTTGGTAAATAAAGCCAGTCGTTCTATAATATTTACAGCATCTGAGATGTGTCGCGATCGACCTATATGCAGAAGATATTGTCACCTGGCCTCGGATCCTTGTACATAACTAAAATCACAAAAGAGAGAAGGAAATATAGGTAAAAAAGAAAATGCCACTTTGATACGATTCAATTTCTCTAAGATTGTATAGTACGAACCTGTGTTGAATAGTATCTGTTTTAAATGGAGTAAATTGCGGTTTGCAAAGTAGGAAAGCTTTTTGTAATTCGGCGTTTTCTTTCCGTAACGATTTAACTTTTTCACGTAATTCCTTGGACTTTACTTGGAATCGTGCCGTCAAAGATTTCGCCTCGTCTCTCCATCTTAAAATAAAATGAAATAAATCAAATTTTGTCATTCAATCAGATTTTATATAGCGATAGATCTTATTACCTTCTGCTTAATTTTTGATGAATTGCCACATGCTGCGTCATCTCTCGTATTTTTTTATCAAAATGTTCTTGTTGCTTACTCAATTGCTCAGTTAACAGAGACTGCCAATTGTGGTCCAGATTTTCAACTCTGGAGAACATAGACTTTTAAGTACACCCAAAGCGAAAGAGTTATTTATTTTAAGTAAGTATAGTATATAGATATGTATTAAAATGTTGTACAATAAAATTATTTACCGTATATCCAGAGTATGTTTGCTGGTATCCGCGCGATGTTGCGTGGGAACTTGTATCGGAGAAAAATTGATGCCTGATTTACCCTCCGTTATGTAATTCTCTTTCAAAAGATTCGCTTCTAATTCGCGAATCTTAGTTTCCAATGTGCCTCGTTCATAATCTCTCTTATGTATCTCGCGATCGAAAGCCGACTGCAGCGATTTCAATTCTGTCGCTAGAGATTCCTTGTCATCTGTAGCCTTGACTAATTGGCCCTCTAAATTAACGTAGCGATCAATCGCGTCCTTCGTCCTCTCGTCAGCTAACTTGATGCGGTCTCCTACATCCGTAGAGTTCTGCTGTTGTATCTGCTTCAGCTTCTCGTTCGAAGTTACTAACTTTTCTTCCAAATTAACAATCTTTTCTCGCAGCTGTTGCACCTCTAAATTATATTGTCTCTTGCATATCTCGTTGCAAGCCTCCAACTTGGAGTCCGTCTGTTTCAATGCTTGCTCGAAGGTCAGAATCTTCGCGGTTGATTTTTCCAATAAATCCTCGGAATCCCGACGCGTCTTCTCCAGTTCCTCCTCCGCCAATCTGCTCTCTCTTTGCAATCGATCCAGTAACATCGCCTTTTCCCGCAATTCCGATTTCAGCTCTTTGATCTCTAATAAATATTTCTTCGCACTGTGCTCATGAGCGTCCTTCAATTTAGTGATCTCCTCTCGCATCTTAACGGCGTGTTCCTCGGCAATGGTAGCCAATCGAGTTTCCAACCTGGCGTTTTGCTCTGCAATTTGTGCCTCTCTTTGAAGTACGAAGTCCTTTTCTTTTACCGCAGATTCTATCAGATCGAGGGCTTCGGCCATCTTGCATTTAGTTTCTTCGTTTTTCGCCGCAATATTGCTGGCCGCTCGTCTACTCTCGTTCAGTCTTCTCTCCAAATCTGACTTTAAATGATTTATCCTCTGTATCTCTGCCTTCGCGGCAGACAATTCTTCCGTTAACGACTGTATCGTCTGCTGACTATTCCTATCTTTTAAATAAAATTACTGACGTACTATCTCTCTCTTTCGTATCTCAAATTAAATAAAACTAACATAAATCACCGACCTTTCTGTTGACTGTCTTGTTGGAACTCCTGAAATCTTGTCGCTACTTCCTGTTTTTCTCGCTTTAGACTTTCTATCGTTTCCTTACTCGACATCCACATGGACTGCTGCTTCGCAAAATTTTCCTTAGCCTGAAGTAACTTGCTCTCCAAAGCCTTTATAGCTTCCGAATATGATTGCCTGACGTCCCTCAGTTGCTCCTCATAAAACTTGGCATCTCTATTGTCTACCGAGCGAGTTCTCAATTCCTGCTCCAAAGCGTCCACAGCTTTCATCGACACCTGCCACAGTTGGACCGCGGAATCCTTCTCCATTTGTAGGACCGCGATGTGCTCCTTCAAATTCCTAATTATCTTATTGTGCGCATCCTCGCTCTCACATTCCTCCGCATGGACGCGAGAAATGTAATCGCGTACAGCATCGCTGCTATTCTTATTCTCAACGTGCAAAGCTTGTAACTCGGAACGAAGGCCGGTTTGTTCCGTCTGTAAGAGGTATTCGTATCATGTATAAAATTGTCACAGTCAGTTTAAGAACGAGATACAATTAGATAAAGATGTATCGCATATTGAATGGACTGTCAATGGGAATAAGCTTACTTTGCACATTTCCAACTCCCGTTTAAGCTCCTCAACAATGTCATTGTACTCCTGCAGAATAACATGATGTTCTCTGGAATATATGGAAGGAATAATTATCTTTTATCTGACAAAAAGAATATACTCCGGATTTCCTAACCTCACACTCACCCGCGTTTCAGCGCGTTGTACTCCGAATCGAGTATCTTCGTCTCAAACATTTTTTTCCTAGGAAACTTTGATTTACAAAAGGCAAATCACTTGTAGAAAATTTGATCCCGATATCTAAATTATTTTTATTTAATTCATTCAACGTTCAACAACAAACTATTTGTGTTGACATTTGGTTTCGATCATACACACATATTACGCATACACTGATACGTGCAACGTGTGTCGATGTGTATATATATATTTGAACCCGTTTCAACGCTATAAAATGCATGAAATTATAAATATTCGATACATTGATAATTAAATTGTTTTCAATAAATTTATCAAGAATTAAATGGCAATTAATATTATATATCGATATAATTTTCATTGCGATAAGCGGATAAGATAATCATGATTATTAAATGAAATTAATATAAGTATTTCGGGATTGTAATATTGAAATTATTTATCATAATTAAATGTATATGCATTTTCCAGAGGACTTATGCCTTCAGAACATATTATCGAGTGTCGGCTTTCGAACATAGATTTTCAGTTGAGTAACGGGGTCCCAGGCGTCACTGGCGTCAGCTCGACTCGCGTCGTACCGGGCTGAAGTTGCCGCTACTTTCGAACCGCCGACATATCGTCATCATTAATGGAACGCGGCCGACACGGGATGGATCGAGCCTCGAGCTGAGCGGCGTCGCGACGCATTTAACCGGTAAGCATAATCGTCGTCCGCTCGTATTTACGCGTATCTTGTAATGTTCGAAACTCGCAGCGCGGATTCGCTCGCGAAGCGGCGAAATTTTGTCCAAGTTCTGCGTATCGCACGAAATAGTCCGATCGAGGTCCGTGGGCGCGAGCAAACGACAAGGCGACGATCGTACCTTCGCGTACCGCGCTCCGCGAGGTATCCACCTTCGATTTTATAATAGATCATATTCAGTTCGCGTTGTCGTTACGAGAAGGTAATCGCCGCCAAGTGTTTCCTTCATTATTCAGAGACCAGACGTTCGTTGTACATAGGCGCGGGAAACGCGCGAGTGCGTATGGCTGTCGCGTGAAGTCACCCGTGCGATTTGCGAAATTGCCTCGCCATTTTTGGACGCCTTCTCGCCGCGTTAATTCACGGAACGTGATGAGCGTCCGTTGAATTCGTATATAACACTCTTCTCATCGCGTTATTCATCGCGTCGCGGCGCGATAAAGCGTGTCTCGCGTGCGGTCGTTGTAGTCGAACGATTAATGCGTCTGTATTTGTAATCGATGAACTCGTTTTTGCGAGCAGGTGATGCGGACGAAAAACTGGCAATGGCGAGAGAGGAGGAGAGGAGGCCTGGGAGGCATCGGGCGACAGCGGAAAGGCGGACGGGTAATTATTATTTATCACTTGGAATTAAACGTTTATCTGCGCGAATTGCATTTTGTGCGCCATTCGTATTTTATATTTCGTGGATTATAAAAAAGTAGTAATAAAAGAAATGGTAATATAAAATAATGAGCTAGAAAAAAATATAAATTATTTTGCGTACTTTTAAGGCACTTTGAATATTTAATAAGATATTTATGATAATTGATATTTTTTTGTAAATAATAATTAATATTTAATATTAAATAGTATTTAATTTTTACAAAGTAACATATGAATTATTAGAAAAATGATTTAAATAATGAATATCTATTGTGAGATATTGTGCGTATAATTAACATTGCATTAATACGATACGGAATAACTGCCATACAATCATTTTAATTTCGCGCATAATCGTAATTAGGCGATACACTTCATTTTTGTTTTACTTTTATATTGAATAGAGTAGGTTATACAGAAATGATTTCTCACTTAATAACATCGTTTTTAAAGAATGCTAAAATAATTATATTCGTCTTGGGATACAAAAATTTTGTGTAAAGTTATAATAATCCATTAATTTGCATAATTACCTTGTTCGATCATATAAAGTATATATTTTACTTTTCAGATAAATGTTAGATGTAACGCACGATGATAATACACCCTTCGGAGTTGGCCTGAACTTCGCGAAACAGAAAATATTCGGTGTAAGTAAAATTATTTCGTAGAATTGAATATTTCGTAGCGACAATAAAAATCAGTTGCGGCGCGCGACCTTGGCGGTTTGTTTTTGTGACGTAGCACGATGAAGCGCGCTATTGTCTACATTAGGTCACCGCGCTTATCATTCACGCGCCGACGTTCGAGCCGACCGGTCTGGCAGCCGCGTCGCGTCGTAGCGCGTTATCGTCCTACCCTACAAAACGCGATTATTCCTTACGAACAATTCACGAGTATCAACCCGCGCGATTAACTGTTATACAATTAAAACGATCTGCAAGCGACGGCTGCTTATCGACGCGGATATTTCGCGAGCTTCACTCGTCCATTACGTTAGAGATCGAAGCGATAGAAAATGAGAGTTGTATATCGTTTAATTGGCACATTTATTGCCGGTAATTAGTTCTTTAACGATACCTCGCATCGCGCATTAACTTTTTCGCCTGATTTGAAGGTAATTCCATCTGTTATCGTGTGAGAATACGGAGCAACGCGAATTGCTGGCTCGAATGTTTTAAGCAACGAAATACCGTCACGTGTGAATTGTTTATTCGGTATTTCGTATATTCTGCGGAAAAGTATATGCATTTGACGTCGCGTAAAGTGCCGCGCGATCTGTATTTTATTGTTATTAAATTAGTATATGTAAAATTAATATTGTAAGTGGACACATATTTATATAACATATTCTCAATACGTTTAAGATTTAAAAATCTTAACTTTATCTCGCAAAATTAAAGATTTTGATATTTTCAAGAACTCTGTAATTTAGAAAGCTAATGTAAGACTTTTTTTGAGATTGCATTTTTTTAATTATTTAATAAATATTTATTCAAAGACAAATAAAAAATTCAATGCGCGTAATAATTATTTTTTGAAATGTTAATTATTTTGAGCGTTGCTCTAATTTGGATATTATTTCTGTTGTGATTACAGATCGACATAATTTATGTTACTACCGCGGCGGAGTTTCAAGAAAAAACTTGGACATTACGTTTTCAAACAATCGAAAGAGTTCGACGTATAAATAAATCGCGCGTAATTCATCGCGTTTTTTAATTTCGCGTAATTTCAACTTCGGGAGTGCCGTACAAGTTCGGAAGCAAGTTTCGCGCGATCATCGTATTGCGATAATTAGTTTGCTCGCGATCGTAATTAGTGAGTGTTACGTAAGTGCCAGGAACCAAGGAATCTGAGAGGAGGAGGAGGTCTGGGAGACATCGGGCGACAGTGGAGCAACCATGCGGTAAGTAATATTTTATTTTATGTATTATTTGCTTTTTTTTGTATTATTGTGTTCTTGCATACGTAGTATGTGTATGTGCGGATTTGATAATTTATTCCCGAAAGGTGATATAATATAACGTTCTCCATTTTGCATTATGTATGATGCCATGCATATGGAAGATTTTTGATGTTATGTTACTTTAGTCGTGCGCACATACACACATACGCTATATTTATATATGAAAATCAAACTTTATTTTATAAAATTTCAAAATTTTGATATTTTCAAGAAATTTACATTAAAAAACAAGATTTTTTCTCAGAAATTGCATAATTGTTTTTGTAAAAGTCTATTATAATTTTAAAAATATCCATTATTAAAGATAAATAACAAATTTAATACGCGTAACAATTACTTTTTAAAAATATTAATTATTTTATATTAATTGCTATAATTTGTTATAATTTTGATATATTTGTATGTTACAGAGTTCAACGTAGCTTCGAAAGCAGTTTATAACTCCACTGTTGCGCATCGTGCCGGTGAGTGCTTTTTTAATTTAAATGAGATAAAGAATCTGTGAAAAGAATTGCACGAATACGATATATTTAGATGTTATATCTTAGGTTGACAGTAATAAAAAATGTAATATCTCACAGATTCATTTGTCTTAAAATGGATGGGCTAGAACAGATTAGAATAAATTTTTAATTCTGGATCTTTAATTCTGAAAATAAAATTATCCGGCGATTTATTATGAATAGAATGCACTCGTATACGCACAAAGCATGCAAAATAGAGCTTATTGTGTTATTTTACATTATTTATTGTCACACGTTTCTTTTTATTCCATCCTCGTCCTATTACTCGTGTCCGAGCGTGGTGACTTCTCTTCATATACATGTGTTGCGCACGTAGATTATACACATTGTACATTCTTTTTATTACTCGATTCTTAATAGAATACTAATTACGAGACACATTAGTCGCTTATAATTTATAAAATAAACTTGCAAGTACAAAACAGTGATAGGAAATATTTCATATAGAAAAAGAAATCGCGAAGCAAAAAGTAAAAAAGATCTTTTCAATATTTATATATTACAAGATGAAAAGAAGAACAGTACATATTTTATCGTTACATAGGGTATTCAATTATTTTATCTAAAAGAGAGATGCGTTCATTTACTGATTTATTCTTATAATGACATTTTATTCTAATCTTTTATAGCGTATTCATCTATACATATTGATTGGTAACTTGATTTATGTGGCTCGAAACGAAGTAAAATATCGTGAATTTAACAAATATTTCACTGCGGAACAGAAAAAAGTTTTTAAATAGATTATTTCATAAAGCTGATTAATGACATGTGTAAATTGTACCTGAAATATATATTTAAAATACTTAAAATATATTGAAATTTTTTAATGTAAAATTAAATTAATTTTTATAATTTATTGGCACTAAAATGAGTTAAGATATTTGTTTTCATTTAATACGTTTAATAGATTACGCATTCCACATTTAACAATAGAAAGTTTAAGTATAATTTTGTAAGAGGATCAATATTTTATATTTAAAGATAACTCAATCTGGACGTGTTATATTATATTCCTCCATAATTGAACGATATTTTACTTCGAGATATTGAAGAGCACTGATATTACCAACGATTTTTGGTCACCCAATGTAAATATCTGATCATTTAGCATATTGCGGTATTTATTTTACTGCAATTTAAAAATACCGATATTTCGTAGTTATACATATCTATTGCATGATTTATTTCTAAAATTGCATTCTGTTAATCAAAGACAGAGATAATTTGAATTATCTCCGAGCTCATTTGATAGCAGTGAAAATTTATCATGGACCAGCGATCTTTAATAACATCTCGTTGATGTTTTTATCATGGACTAGCGGTCTTTAATAACATCTCGTTGATGTTATTACACGTGATTACACACGAAAAGTTCCTCGTACGGATTTATACGTAAAAAATTAATATCTCGTCGTGTTATATATATTAATAGCTGGTAGAGTAATATTGAATTCGGCAGTGAATATGGTCGGTCACTATACTGACAAAAACCGATGGGTTTGCTAGACATGACAGATATTTCTGAGTAAAATTCTGGGAACTTAATTCAGTTTTCTCAGAAAAAGCTACATAGGTAATAATATTACTCGAATTTATATTTTAAAAATATTTTTATTAAAATAATTATTCAGTGTTAAAAGCTGCAAATATGAAAATGACTGAACATATTAATGAAAAAATACGACACACCTCGGTCCTACTGTTTTTTATTTACGATAAAAGCTTATGTTATGTATAATGTGTATAATTTTTAGGATAAAGATGCATTAATAGATACAGATACATTGCGATTATGAAATGAATAATTTAATTTTATTCTAAATTTAATAATGGATTACGTAAGTGATTATAGTTTTTATTTAATTGTAATGTTTAGCTCTATATATCGCACATATAATTTAAGAGAGAATTATTGAATATATATTTATATACGATTTACAGGGGATAAATTTATATATTAATATAAATTGAATTATATAAATTTATATAATTCAATAATTACAACTTTAACGACATATTAATAGTTTCAGGTTAAAACACAAAGTGGCATAATATATTGGCATTTAATATCAATTTATGTTAATTTAAAAAAAAAATGAGAAACAAAGTTACACTACGCAATTCAATATTGTATGTTTTATATATATTCAGAAAGATAAATTTGCAAGGTTTAGTTGTTTGTATTATAATAAAGAATCTGAATTGCTAGTTCTTTTAAATAAATTGTTTTCAATTTATAAAATGATCTGTTAACCCTTTATCCATCAGATTGGAAAAAAATAATTTTTTTTAAGAAAAGAATTACTCGTATTATATTTTTACGAAAATTATTATATAACTTTTTTAATTATAGTAGAAACGTATTTGATGGATCTATAAAGTAATGTCACATAGAAAACATAAAGTTTTTTCTATTACTGTTAGCGCTAAATATTTGGCGCAAGTATCTGGAAAAAGGGTTAAGAGTAGCCTACGAAGAGCAGCGAAAGGGAAACTTTCTGATCTCGTGAATTAGTTGGTATCGGGGGAGGGAGGATGTGAGAGTGTGAGGGAATTCTGGCAGATATATTATCTATCTGTCCGCATGATATCGCGGAAAGACGAGGGTAGAAGTGGGGGTGGCTCCGAGAGAGCGTCGGGACGCTTCGGTCCTCGCGCTCAGTCACCGCCCAAGCCGCGCCGCGACCGATTCGTCGTGCCGTCGCGTCGCGAGAGAACGAACGAGAAAGAAGTGTGCGTCCCCGCATGTAATCTCTTCGCGTCGAATGCACCGTAATTACTGCCGGTTGCAATCCCTCTCGCGTCACCCCGTTCCCCGTGCTTCCCGACTGTCAGTGATCGCCTCTCCCGCTCGCGAGATCGCGTTCGATCGGCTGCACGCGAGCGGGATTGGGAAATTGATTATCAGGTCTTATCTTTTGATTTTGAAGCCAACGCGGGGGAAGAAGTAGTGGTGGTGCCGCTGTGTCGTGGTGGTGCACCTGCCGGCGCGGATCCTGAAGGCAACGCGTTCCTCTGGAGGCGCTCAGGAGACAGTCAAGATCCATCGCCGCCCGGAGATGTCGGAAAGTCAAGGTCAGTACTGCTGCCGCGGTCGCGGTGCAGCATCAGCGTGTGCACGCGTGTAGAGCCGTGCGGGGCGTATGCGGAGCGAACGCGGGGATTCCCGGTTAAGCGTCAAAATTAAAGTTGCACTATTTAAAGTTGCCGTTTCCGAGAAAGAGTTAATAGTCACTCTCTGGAAAGCGATCTTTGATCTTTTGGAGCACGAAAAAAAAAGAAAGAAAAAACATAGGAAAAAAAACCCAGGAACGAGACTCGAGATGTTGAATCGTTTGACTCCCGTTGAATGGGTTTTGAGGAGAACACGAATCGTTTTATAGGATTTTCCTTTTTTTTTTTACCCCGAGGCTCCCGCGTCTCAGAGAAAATATAGCGGTGGCGGATAAGAGATGCTCTTTTTTGACGGCGCGAAGAGTTAGCACAGTAAATTCGAACGAGTGGAAGTGGGTCACTGTGAGAGAGTTCTTAATTTAATATCCCGGTTTACTTCCCAGTCCCTTATTCACTCGCCATTGCAATATCCATAACATTAAATACGGCGCGCAAGATGTTCAGCTCTTCGCGGTATTAATTGTTTAATCCAGTCGCGATCATCTTTCCGAGATCCGCATGACGCGATGCGTTTATCAAGACTACTGTCATTAACGGTTTAATACTGTAGAACTAGCAACGATCAATATTACACCGTGTTTTATTAACCCCTGTGGATTCATCACGTAATCTCTAGGTATTACGCCTCACGAAATCATGTTAACCCATTTGCATCTACAATTGCGATTATTTAAATCTGAAAACCGTCAGCCTTTAGGGGTTTGTCATTTATCTTACAAACAAATTAAATTGCAGCTAATTTAATTGCGATAAAATTGTTTGTATTAGCATTGTAAGTATATTTATATATTTAAATATGAAATAAACACATTTTAAATTACGAGGATTGTTTGGAAAGTAGTACCCGCGTTTTTAGAATTAAAAAAATAACTAATAAAGATTTTTGAACGAAAACTCTTTATTTTACACTGTACACCGCACCTTAGGCTATTTTTCCACGTAGTCACCCTGGACATTCAAGCATTCATCGTACCGTGTGACAAGTTTTTGCATCCTCTCATCACATCTCTGCCACCAGTCCGCCCAGAAACGTAGTGACTGTTTTCTCTTCTTCCTCTTTCCCAAAGCGTTGTCCTCCCGAAAAAATCCCTTAGTTTTATGAAAAGGTAAAAGTCACTGGAGACTAGGTCTGGCTGTAGGGTGGATGATCCAAAACTTTCCGACTCATTGACAGTTTCAATTAGGAAGTTTTGGACCATCTATCCTACAGCCCGGACCTGGCTAGTGACTACGTAGAAAAATAGCCTAAAGCCTGATACATGTACGATGTAAAATAAAAAGTTTTGTTCAAAAATCTGTATTAATCATTTTTTAATTCTAAAACTGGCACTACTTTCCGAATAATCTATGTATATAAAAAAAATGTACATGTCAGAAGAATTAAATAATAATTCTTTGATAGCACATTTGTGGTAGTATGATTTAAATATACGGACGGATTAGTACATTTATACACGTAGATAATGTAATCACTAATCATTTCGAAAATTAATTTACGTCGACTGATAAGCTTGATTAACGCAGAGTCAATAAAATCCTCCCCGGAGAGAATTAATCGGGGTGACCCGAAATCATTTATGATGAATCATTTGAATGATCATTACTTTTATCGAGATGAACGTGCGAAAGCACGTTCCTTATTGCGTGTTTGTGATTTATGCAAGTACTTGGCGGAATCTTCGACAATTTTGAAATTAACGTTCCGCGTAGACTTTTATTTTGCTTGAATGTTTTATCGGGCAACACGCGGAACAGCGTAGAGACAAAAAAGGATTACCGGTTCGCGACGCTTACGACCTCGTCGTAGTAACTTCTTTGATTAACATCGCCAGGTCGCGCGTTCATAACTGCAGTTCTTCCAAAGTTCCTGTCACGGGGACAATTTTGCGGGACTCAACTTAGTTAGAGCTCATCTTCAGACAACTTTCGAAATCGTGTCCTGATACATTCAGGCGTTCCGCTTCCTTCTCTCCCGGTTTCCCCCCGGTAATCTTCCGTAATTTCGCGCCGTTCGTTGTTCTTGATCCCTCGATGTATCGACAGGAAAAATCTTGCGAAGTATCTCATGTGGGATTTGATCGAACTACCGGCAAAAGGGACAATACTACTGCGAAGTGTCGAGGAAAGTTAATTTAACTTTAGGCGGTTTGCTAGTCGAGGATGCTCTTATTGTCAGGAAAACTGTCAAGAGGAGTTTGAATTTCGAATTTCTAGTTTGGGATTGCATAACGATGTTAGTGTTACTTGAAGATA